AAGGTTTCATCCAGTTCTGGCATTCACGTTTCAAATAGAATGTTGAAAAAATGGAAAGGGTGAAGAAAAGAACCATGGGGCTGGTTTGAGGGCTGGAGGAGCTGCCCTTCAGTGACCGGTTTCAGGAGATGTCTGTTAAAAGGCTCAAAAAGTTGATAGGGAGATGATTGATTACAGCATTCAAGTACCTTCACAGGGCAAAGACATGGGGAACGGAAGGGACTTTTAGTCTAGCAGAGATGAGCAGAACAAGAGCCAATGGCTGGAAGCTGAAGCTTTACGAGCTAGAATAAAGCATGTGTTTTTAACTCTACAGACAATTAACCAATAGGACAGACTCTCAAAGGGAAAGGTGGCTTGGCCTTCTCTTGATGGATTCAGATCTGGACTGGATGGCTCTGGAAAATCCATTTGGCCAAGCAAAAACTGCTAGGCTTAAGTAACTGGTGAGAAATGTAACAGCCTGTGTCATATGGGAAGTCTGACATAGGAGGTGTCACAGGAGGTGATCTCTGACTTTAGGTCAGATGAGGTGATTTGATAGTTCTGTCTCGCCCTAAGCTCTGTGAAGATACAATAGAACACTGCACAGCCACACTCCAGTTGGCCACGTGTCCCGACCACTGCACGTTGACACATCAAGTGTCATTCATCAAGAAACCAAAAGAGTCTTCATCATCCACCTCTGCCCTCATCTGTACTGAAATAAAATAAACCCATTTCAGTTCCTGGGCCAGAACCTTGTCAACAAAGTACTTTGCCTTTTTGTTATGAAGTCATCAGTCACATTTTGGCAGGTTTGTGCACAGTCTCAATTTAGTGAGGCTGCTCAGCACTCTTCCATCTTTGCAACTTTGACCATTTTGTTGAGAAACAAAATAATTGCTCACGTACAAGCTTCGTTAAAGATCCCAGCTCTGTAGCCCACAGCTCTGCAGGAGCAGATGAGAAGAACAGAAGGAGCTACGGTCTCAATCTGCAGCAAGGGAAATTTAGATATTCAGAAACACTTTCTCACTAGGAAGATAGTAAAACACTGGAACAGAGAGGGTGTTGAATCTCCCACTTGAAGGTTTTTAAGATCTAGCTAGACAAACTTTGGCTGGGATGATCTAATTGGGCATGGTTCTTCTTTGAGCAGGGGGTTAGAGTAGATGTGACCTCCTGAGGGCTCTTCTAACCCTCATTTTCTATCGTTCCATGACTGCCACTCACTACCAGATCCTGAATTCTGGTTTTAGTACATACAGTCACTAAAGGAACTGGGTGGGGGCTTACTTTCGTTTCTGGATCAAACCTTAGAAAAGTTGCTGGCACACACAAATGGTACCTTGTTGTATAAACCAGGGACCAGAAGAAAGTTTGTTTCCAGTCTTTGCTGCTACAGGACCAGCATGCTCTGTGTTCAGACAAAGACTTCTTGCATTAGTGAGTTATATACTAGGAAGCCTGGACCTGGAGGCTGCCTCAGGTCAGCACTAGTTATAGAATCACAGACGATGAGGGTTGGAAAGGACCACAGGAGGTCACATCTAGTCCAAACCCCTGTTCAGAGCAGGACCAGTCCCAACTAGATCATCCCAGCCAAGACTATCTAGCTGGGTCTTAAAAACCTACAAGGGTGGAGAGTCCACAACCTCTCTGGTAACCTGTTTCAGTGCTTTAGTGCTTTCCTCATGAGAAAGTAATTCCTAATATCAACTTCCCTGGCTGCAACCTGAGTGAGAGAGCTCAGCAAGGGTACTGATAGCACCACTGTCCAGCAAATAGTGCTTAGGGATTGTTAAAGCACAGTTAATCCTTAAATGGAATGTGAAATATGAACACAGACAACTTAGTGTCCTAAATTCAAAGTCTAACTTAATTAGTACAACAAGTACTATCTTAGCAGTTTCTATATTCAGGGAGAGAAACGCACTTAGTACAGTGATCTCACCCAATCCCAAGTGTTACTTTGCTCAACTGAAAAGATAGCCACTCAGTTCCTGAAGCAAAGGGTGCATTGTTGGCTGGGACGGTCCAGACAGGTGTTGAAAACTGGAATCATGATGACAGTGACGATGACGACACACTTAACTTTCTTGCTCCCCCCTTTTATGCTTTTCTTTAACTTGACTCTTGTGATGACTCCTTGATTTTGGATTGGTCTCTCTGCAGTCAGCATATTATCCACATTTTATCCTGTCAGCATATTCCTTTGTTCAACAGACCCATCATGAGCACATCTCTTAATTTGGCCTTTTTCCCGTGTCTTACTCTGTGCATTGTCCATTGGTCTCCTTTATCACCTTTCATTAACATATCCAATCATTTCATCCCTCTGGTTAGTGCTAAGTTCAATTAATTTGAGCTGGCAACAAAACTATTACTATGTTGTGCTAGAAAAACTTCTCACAGTGATAGAAAAGGAAAGAAACATAATGTGAGCAAACACAAGGCCATAAGCTGCTTGCAAGAGGGAAGGCCAGTTGATATCACAAACACCAGCAAAATGAAAAGTTCAGATAACAGTGAAGCTATACAGAACTTTAGGGTGGATATCAAAGAAAACTTTAAACAATACTGTAATTCACCACTCTATAAACAGGTGCAACTTTAAAGCATAAAATATGACAAGCTACCCTACAATTGAGGAGACTGCAAAAAAGATAATTCATTACATGCATATAAAGAGAGGTGAGGCTGGGTCAGCAGATCTGCTGTGGGTTTCTCATAGAGGCAATATCCTATGCATGCATGCGCACGTGTGTGTGTGTGTACACATCTCGTGAACACAAGTTGTTTATTTGTCAATACCTGAGCACTTCACGTGCCCTTGGTCTGTATACCTTCAAAGCATTCAAGATGAATGGACAAGTGCCCCATTAGACAGCAAAAGCAGTGAATAATGGCCATTATCTTTGTGGTAAATGGCATTTGTCTGTGGGGTTTGCATAAAACATCCATGGGCAACAGGTCCCTTTTGTATTAATAATTCCTAGTGTATCACACTCTCCCTTAGCCCAGTGGGCTGGCACTGACGAGGCTGCCAGGACTCCTGGTTCTGTTCTTGGCTATGGCCACTTACCTGCTATGTGACCTTGGTGAGCCACCTAGACTGTGTTTCAGTGTCCCCACTCAGAAAATGTATTGCTGGTGTTGCTGCGGGAGTTGTGGGACCCTGTGCAAACACTGCCACCCAGAAGAGCTCATGCTGTGACAACACTGCAATTGGTCATCCCAGTGGAGGGCAGACTCCCACTGCCCAGCCCGACCACAGGCTGAGGGTAGAGCCAGTCTTCCCCAAGGGAAAGGAGTTTAGTGGGAACAGGGCCAGCCTGAACAAGACCTGTTGTGCACCTGAGAGGACTTGGGCTTTCTTCTTGCTCAGGGACTGGTGCCAATCTCCTTCATGGCACCCCTCACCCAGCTTCTGCAGAGATGGGCTAGAAGGGGGCAGGGCTTGTTTCTGCCCTTCCTTTGGTACTGGTTGGCTTTGTTTCTTTCTGAGGGGGATTTCAGTAGCTGCCCTCAGCAGGCTGTGGGGTCCGAGGGTTAGGGAGTGCTTCTGTTTTGAACCAAAAGCAAATATCTGTCCTCCACCCCTCCCTTGCTGCCCTGCTTCCAGACAGCTTGGATGCCAGAGATGGAATACGGCCTGACGGAAAGTTTTATGGATCCTTACTGATGGACCTGACTCAGTCTCATGGACCTTTCCTGAAGCATGTGTGCATCTAACCAAGTGGCAGCTGCATAATGTCCTGGGTGGGTGGGTCTCTGCAGGCTTGTCCCCTGTCACAGTTGTGCTAGAAGGAAAGAGCAAGCACTCCATTGAAAGGACAGCATAAAGGGCTTGGGGGACTGGCAGTGTAACGGGAGCACCCTAACCTGAAGCCCAGTCACATGAACCATTGAGAGATGCTGATCCATAGATGCTACACCTACATGCTGGTCTGTGGGTGCCTTCAGGTGCATGTGTCAGGTTGGCAAAGCAGGTCCTGGACTGGTGGGAGCCTGCATCTCTTCATTGTTGTCAGTGGTGATATGTGAATTTGCATGAAGCCAGGGGTGGATCCAGGATTTCCCAAAGTGGGGGTGCAGGAGCAACAGCCCAGGCTGCAAAGTGGGCTGTACTCTCTGCTCCCACCCCCCTCTGTCCCCATTAGTGTGGGCAGATTGCACTGGAGAGTGCTGGGGACTTTAAGTCCCGAAAGCAACTGAAACCCCCCCCTCCGCACTGTAGCGCCCCGCTCCCTTCCCCGTCCTGCTGAGAGGCGGGTCCCCTCTCTTCCCCTTTTTCCCCCACCCCCAAACTCCCCTGCTGGTTGCTGCTGCTTTCCCCACTGCTCCTGGGCAGAGAAGCTCCAGAGCCAACTGGGTTGCCTGGAGCCTGGGCTCAGCTAGAGAGGGGACAGCAGCAGCAGGGTGGCAGGAGAATAGCTTCCTTTACCCTGCCGAGAGGAGGCATGGGGAGGTGGAAAGGGATTCCCATCCATCCCTGCTACCCTTGTCCCTGTCCCCAGCTGAGCCCAGTGCAGGGAGCAGATAGGGCTCTGGTACTTACCCACCCCAGACAGTGGGGAAACTCAGGTGTGGGGGAGAGCAGGGAAGGGGCATGCCTCTGAGCAGAGAGGATTTTTCACCTGCTTTAGGGGCTTCAAAAAGTCCCCCGAGGCTCCTGTGCTGCAATGACCTCCAAAGACGGGGGGTGGGGGTGGTATTCGCAACATTGCATGAGTCCCACAGCTTTCAGTTGCTGGGGGTGGGGTGGGGCAGAGGAATTTCTACCAGAGGGGCAGCAGCAGGTTGTTTAGTTCTTCCTTGGACTTGGGCTTAGAGCCCCCACTGTGCTAGCAAACGTGAGGGGGCAGCGGCATGGCCTCATTCTCCGCAAGGGAGCTGGGAGGCCAGCGTGCTGGCACCCAGGGCAGTGCTGGCACCCATGGAGCAGAGCGGAGAGTTGTCAGTAGGCTGCAGTGGCTGGTGACAATCACTGACTGTCCTTTTCTTTCCTGCCATAGAGCCCCCCGGCATACCTCTCGGGTCTGTACGGAGCCTCTCCGGCTGGCGCGTTCCCACACCAGCACTCCGTAAGTGCCACACCTCTCCCTGCCGCGCCGGCACTCTCCCCCCTCGCTTAGCCACAATGCTTCTCTGCCACGGGAAGGCCAGGGCTGTGCTCCTTCTTTGCAATCCCTTCCCTTCAGCCTGCGGCTTTGCAGCTGGTGTAGTGGGAGGTGGTGCCCTCCCGGCAGCAGAGACTCAGCCATTGGAATTGAGGCTGCAGAGTTCCCGGTGCTCCTTGGCACAGCCTGTGTGCCTTCCCTGTGCCTAGGTGTGCCTTGGCGCTAGCGCCAGGCTCATCCCCATCACTCTGGGGCTTTGTTGCTTGCTCTTTTCACTGGCCACACATTTCACATAGCCCATTTGTGCCAGCAGCCTAGAGAAAACAGCCTCTGTCTTCTGGCTTCTGGGCACTCTGGTCCAGGGGGTGGGGTGGGGAAAGGACACTTCATGACACACACAACTTTTGCCTGCTGTCGGGGCACACGGATCGCCTCTCTGGTCTTACTCTTCCTGCTCCTTTTGTTGTTCCTAGCTGCTTGTGTCTGCTGCTTTCCCACCTCTGCTAGTGCTCGTGCCCTTTCCAGGTTCGCTGCTTCCCTACCAGGAGCTTCCCTGATGATGTGTCAAACTATGGGCACAGTACAGCGTGGGCTTGCATGTTCAGGCAAATATTTGTGCTCCCCAGACACTTCATACCACCGCAGTGGAGAAATGGGCTGGATTTGGACTCCTGTGCAGAGCTAGATGGGATGTGGGAGATGTCTGGAAAGAACAAAAGCCAGGTTTCCAAAAGCAGGAGCTTGATGTTCAGCTCCCAGGCATCCCAATAAGGGACCAGTCTTCAGAGGCAAGCAGCCAACACTGGCAGCAGTCCAATCCCCGAGGGAAAGGAGCAAACTTTAGGTTAGATTCTGGGCCCCTTTGGCATGAAACTGGGCATAGCCCTTTGGAAGAGAGGAATCTGCCCTGGGTCCTGTCTGGCACCTGCCAGCAGCTAGTCTGCACCCAGGCTTGTTCCAGTGTTATCACAGAGGTTTGGAGCCTGACACATTTGAAGCAGGCCAACCCCTAGGGCAGAGGCAGCAGGACCTCTCCATATGGGGAAGTTACATTGAGCAGGGGAAGGCTGTAAAGTGGAAGTGCAGGGAGCATGCTGGCCGAGATGCTATTGTGGCTGTTTAGTCCAGACCGCGGCTTTGTTCCAGTTTAGTGTAACCCCTAGTGTAACCTGCCCTTGCCAGGAGCCATTGTGGTAGAGCTGAGGCAGAACATCTTCTGTAGCTGTTCAGGTTAGTGTCCCTCAGCTTGGCTTCCCCTCCTACCAGTAAATGTGGATCCACACCAAAGCTCACGATGGGATAAGATCGCAGCCTTGGCCAAAACAGGGGAACAACAGGCATTTGCAAACCCAACCTCTCATGCAGCCCACTCTCGGCAAGGGGGTCCCGTGAATGAGGACAGTCACAGTGTCTTCTTCAGGCTAGGGGATGTGATGTTTGCTCTGTAGGTGCTGTTCGTTCCTCTCTTGCTTCCATGCTATGGTGCTGTTGGGAGGCAGGAATGTAACGATGAGGGGGAGGTTAGCATGGAGACTCCCTTGTGAGGCTTTGCTGTGGGAGGTGCAGCCCTGCTCTCAGTAGTTCCTCTGGTAGGGGAGCAAACAGGGCACCTGGGGAGTCTGTGCTGCGGGGCTGCTGCAGCCAGCGTGTAACCGGCCAGTCCCCCAGCTGCAGCTACAAGAGCCTGTGCTGCTCAAGAGCGACAGCCATAGCACCTGCTGCCAGCATGCAGAGCCAAGGCTGTTATGACTTCACTCCCCCTTCTCCCTCCACCCCTGCCAAAGGCAACTAAAGGAGTTTGTTATGCCTCTTTTGGGAGACCCTGACTGGTCAAGAGCAAGGCAGTACAGTTACCAGCTGCCAGTCCTAATGGATAAGACCTGACCACCCCCTCTGTCCTGTAACTTTGCCTGTAGCATGGAGGACAGAGGCCATGTCCTGTTGCAGGTAGTTGTCACGTCACTGACCCGTGCACAGCATTTTAAAATGCATCAATTATTGGTTTTAAACAACCAAAATGTTGCACAGGGCCATGGAGAGGAACAGTGCAGGACAAATAGGGAAGACAGTGTTTCAGGCCAGCACTGTTGTCAGTGATGAGAAATGCTTCTGGAAGATTCATTGGGAGTTTGATTGAAAAGTGGCAAGTCTATTGAGTATGAGCCAGAGTCTGTGCTGATGTTGGTGGTGTACCAGTGTTGGCCATGGGTACCCAGAAAGCCAGGGCACTTGTGGCTTTAGAGTAAGCACATGGAACTGCCTCCACATAAGATCACTGAAATGAGGAGAAGCAGGGAAAAGTGAAGCCCATGCAGAGTAAGAACCATGCACTCTGGGGCTGCTCTTGCCACTTGCAAATGACATCTGTACTTTGACATATGACAGATGGACTGATCTGGCAGTTAGACCTGAGCTGCGATCTCCTCAGCTGTGGCAGGGTGAGATCTCTGTCACTCCACCCCAGTGCAGGAGCGACACTGTGTTCTCTTCCAGCCCTTTCTCCTGCCCCCTCTCTTGCAGCCGTGCAGACTCTCTTCAGGAATTTGCAGCAGGGTGCTGATCTGGCCTGATGAGGGAGGCAGCCTGTCCTCACTGCCAACCCAGCCAGCCAGCCACAGCAGAGCACTGGGAGGGGAGCTCCCACACTGCTAGGAAGGATCTGAGCATCACACGCATGAGCAAGTGAAGAGCTATGCACAGCCTCGCAATTGCTGGTGTTGTGCTCATAGATCTGCTGTTCAGTAGCAACACTGAGCGTGGGTGTGGTGAGACCTGGAATTAGGTGCGTGTCTGTACAAGGGAGCAGAGAGCTGAGTTGATCAATATGGCTTTTGCATTCTGATATCCTAGGTAAGTTATTTTGGTGGGCTAATCTGAGGATCAGTCAGGCAGGACCATTATTTGGCCTCCCAAGGACCTGGTGGAATGACATGGGAATGGCTGTGCATCTAGAGTCACTCAGTGCCATGACCAGCCATGGTTGCTGATACAGCAAATGCCCTGGGGTACCTCTGGCAGGGATCATGATGTGTTCCTAGCTGCGTGTTCCTTATGCATCTCATAGCATCTCTGGGACTGGCAAGGTGCATGATGGCTGTGCCTGAGGCAAGACAGGCTCCCTTGTCACACTGGTCTGCCCTGCCCTTCACAGCCTCAGAGCCTTAAATGTCAAAGTGATCTTTTTGCAACCTTGTCATATGAAAGGTGAGTCATCGGTGGCAGTCCCTCGAAGTCGAGGATGACATCCGTCAGGCTTGATGGGTCCGTTGGTGACTGAGGAGCCTGATTTTGGATTCACACACTTGTCAGCAATGGGGGCATGTTGTTGCATGGGTGAGTGGGATTTGCAGCCCCAGATTGGTCGTCTTCTCCTTCCTTTGCCGCCACCTCAGTATCGAGTTTTTGGGCCTCGAGGTGACGTGCGCCTTTGTGGACCAGGTGGCATCACGCTGAATGGTCAGCAGCTTGCTCCTCCCAGCCATTGGTGTTGATGCCTCTGTGCTTGAGGGTGACCTTGAATGTGTCTTTGTATCATTTCCTTTGGCTGCCCTTTGTGTGTTGGTCAGTGGAGAGCTGAGAGAAGAGAATCTGGTGAGGAAGGCGGTTCTCGGACATCCGGACGTAGTGGCCTGTCCATCGGAGTTGATTTCTCAAGAGCAAGGCTTCGATGCTGGTGGACACAGCTTCATGAAGCATGGTCATGCTGGTCCAGCAGTCCTCCCATTTGATCGCCAGGATTCGATGCCAGGTGGTCAGCACGACAGCCTTAAAAACCAGGACCTTCATCAACTTCCGAAGATCTCTATTTTCTAAGACACATTGTCACAGCTTGTAGAAAGCAGCACTGGCGCAGTTGACCTGGTGCTGGACTTTTTCATTGATGATAGCCCATTGAAAGCGGTGGTTGCCAAGACATGGAAAGTGCTCCACGTACTCCAGAGCCTCCCTGTTTACGCAGATAGTGCGAGGGATGTTCAGCTGGCCTGGAGAGGGTTGGTGAAGAACCTTTGTTCAGGTTCTCCACCCTGACGGAAGCCTGTGCGTGGCATGTTTAGCGTGGGGACTTCAGTGCACAGGTCGGATCCACGTGGTCTTGGCAGTTGGTGGCTGGGTTCAGTGGCATGGTGAACCACAATGGCTGAGGCCACTTTTCCATTGCAGCCTTCTTCCACCTTCACAGCTGTTGGGGCCACAGCCTTCCTTCACCTGCTCCACTGTTGAGGACTTCTTAGATTACTCTTTGTCTGGAACCTTTCTCTCAACCTTACTGCCATGGGTAGCCCTACCAGGAGCGTGACCTCCAGACGGCATCGCTCTCGGGGTCATTGGAACATGCAGACCTCTCCACCACAACAAGGTGATGATCCTTAGAGAGGGAAAGGTGAGTAGGGGGGAGTCTGAAGAGCAGGAGTCTGCTGCAACCAGGTTCAGAGAGTGCTGGTTTCCATGAGTCCCAGTCTTCTCAGTGCTGGGCATTTCAGATGGTGGATGACAGAAGTGTCATTTATACACCTGCAGTGTGACATTTCCTGAGAGGCATGACCCCACAGTGCTGAGAAATCCTGCTCACCTCAGGGCATCATTCATGGATAAGCTGGGAGACCAGGTCCAGGATCTGTAAGGAAACAATTGTTTTTCCTGTTTCGTCTTGTTGGTGCTAGTGGTGGCAGCCTTTCAACATGAGGATGACAGTCTCCCGGTAAATATTTGGGAAGTCATCAGTGAGTCTGTAGATGACTAACAAGGTTGATCTGCATGTTTGAATGCAGATATGGCAAGTAGTTCAAGGAGGAAGGAATAAATCCAAGTGATGTCAGGTGAGCTGTTTCCCTTGATGTCTCTCATCTATGCTCAAAACCACTGGGGTGATTCAGTGCTTCAGTGTCACATTTCTTCAGATTGCCTTTCAAGGTGTCTTGGAATCTCTTCTTTTGCCCACCTCTACAGTAGCGACCATTGGTGAGCTGGGAGTATAAGGCCTGTTTTGGGAGCCAGTTGTCTGGCATCCTTATGACATGTCCTGTCCAATGAAGCTGGTGCCATATAAACATGGCTTTGATGCCGGTGGTGGAGTCAGCTGGAACAGGCATTCATTCTTCTGTCCTTCCATTTGATATGGAGGATTTTCCGAAGACATGTGTAGAATCACAGAACAGAGTGGCTGAAAAGGAGCCCCAGAGGTCACATCTAATCTGACCCCCTGCCTGAGGCAGGATCAGCTCTGTTCAAACCATATGGCTGATAGTAACATTACAGAGCTTTCAGGTGTTTCCAATATGTCATTCAAGTTTCACAACCATGCAACAAGGTGAGGATAGCAATATCCTGGTAGATAAGAGGTTTGATTGGGTCCCAATATCATGATCGTTAAAGACATGATTTCAGAGATGTCTAAAAGGCAGCACTGGCAGATTTTATCCAGATTTTATGTTGAATAGTGTTGTCTATGTTTACTTTTTGGGAAAGGTGGCTACCCAGGTAGGGCAGTCTCTAAGGATTGACCTCTGATTCTAACAAGTGGAGGAGCAGCTGGTTGGTTTGCGTGGGTTGGTAAAGGATCTTGATTTTCATTAAGCTGGCAGTGAGTCCAAACATTTCATACACTTCACAGAAGCAGACAAGTGTGACCTGAAGCTTTTCCATTGCGTGGGTGCACATTACAATTGTCAGCGTGTTAAGTTTCAGTGATGGATTTGCTGGTTTTCGTGGATTTGGAACATAACCAGTTGATGTTAAAGAGATGCCCATCTGGGCGATACTGGATGCTGACCCCAGATGAAAGTCTGTATCACAATTATTCCACATCTCATTGCTGATGTGGCATCTTGATGTTTCTTTCTATCATGTGCCCTGTTTGACTTCTTTGAGCTGCTATGGTAAAGTAGAGCCAGATGAAGGCATCCAGTAGAGTTTTGTCACTGATTTCAAAGGAGCCAGATTGGATTCTCCCTCTCCTGGTTGACTTCTCTGAGTGTGTATATAAAATAAAGCCTGTGCAGGGACCAGTTCTTCTGAGGCTGCTGTCTCTCAGTTGTGTACAATGAGTATGTGGCTTAATGGGTTGTGTGCCTACTAGTATTATATTTTGGTACTGTCAGAGATGGGGGCATAGGCAATCCAGGTCAGTGGTTAGGACAGAATTGAAAGCTGGGGATTTGAACCAGAACCAAAGTCCAAAGAGCAAGCCAAGATCAGGGGCCACCCATGAGGGATCTGAGAGGAAGACAGAGGGTAAGTCCAAGCTAAGGATAAGGCTGGGGCTGGGGGAAAGATTCAACTTTGGCACGGACCCTCAAGGAAACTTTGATCAGACACTGGCTATGAACCTACCCAGCCCTTTTGTGGCTGGCTCTGAAGAATAGATGTCACAGAGGAGCAGGTTTAATGCAGGGCATGCTTCAGACAGGGTATGTGCTAAGCCTGCAATTATGCAGATACACTGATACTTGGCCATAATCGCAAACACCTTTCCCCCTTGAAAGGTTGCCAAGCACTTTAACAAACCAGTGAACTTAGGTAGCTGGCCTTTTCAGTTAACCTTGCAAGGGGGTATAGTTATCTTCAGTTATCTGATAGTTATCAGAGTCATTAACTATTCAAGTCCCCGCCCCCCCCCCTCCAGCCACCTCAGTGCCTCATTTCATCCTGACTGGTGCTGAGTAGTCCTATTGCTGCTAGCTGTAGGTGTGCAGCCCCAGGCCCTTCTTTGCTGCAAGTGTCTTTAGTGCACGGCAGCATGACCCAGGACTGTCCCGCCTGCAGGCATATCCTGTAAGCAGATGCACAGTGACAGGGCCTCTCAAGTATCTCTCGTCTCCTGGGGCCATGCTGGCAGGAGGGGAACACGCTGTCCAAGCATTCTCTCCAGATCTTCTAAAACCTCTTCGGCAAACCTTGCTTTGACTTCACAGGTAGGGGGCTGAGACTCCCGTCCCCAAGCTAGGTTTAAAGAGGTTTTTTAAAGCCAAGAATCCTGGACACCAGCTCAAGGGGGCAGCCTCAGCTTGCTGCAGCTCTGTGAAGGGCCTTTACCTCCATGTCTTTCTGGCTGCCTTGGTGCCAAGATCAGGAATTTTCTGCTGCAGCTCAGGCACAAGTCTTGGGTGTGCTGCCAGAGTCGCCACGGTGCTGGTTAGGAGTCAGCCTGGATGCTTAAAATGACCCCTTTGGCCCTCACCCCACATGCTTCATTCTTGGTGGCTCTGAGCACTGGGAGCAGCAGAAGAGGTTCACATGGCTGTGTGGGTGGAGGTTGTTTGCTCACCTGCCTTCCAGGTTGCAGCGGTGCTCTTCCCTGCACTGTCAGTCCATGCATTACACCATGCCTGCAGATTCCCTGCCTCTCTGCAGCAGCTCTGTGCCCTCCATGGGTTGCCTGTCCCCTTAAAAAATCCCAGGGCGGATTCAGACACGTAGGTACCCAAATAGGATGTGGTATCTCTGACATCCAAGTCTTTATAACCAGCCAACATGCAGAGGTTGTTGCTCCCACAGAGAGCTACTGCGTACATTGGAGGAACCCTGGAACCATATGTCCCCTCCCCCTCCCCGGTGGTGGGGAAAGCTCAAGTCCTTCATTTTCCTGTCCCTGAAATGCCTTTTTGTCATGTCTCTCCCTCCCAGCTACCGGAACAGGAGATTGTGAATTTATTCATCCCGACACAGGCCGTGGGTGCCATTATTGGGAAGAAGGGCCAACACATTAAACAGCTGGCAAGATTTGCTGGAGCCTCTATTAAGGTAAAGAAGCATGAGCTTGTGGTCACCCTCCCCTCCCTGTGCTGCCTGTCTTGCAGCACCCTGCAGGAACTCCAGATGGGTCTGTACATCTTCTGTTGCATTAAGATTGAGCCCAGCAAGGTCTTGAAAGAATTGGTGTGCTGGGACAGGGTGTTCTCATTTCAGCCAAGTGTGCAAGTGTGATGTGTGGTGTCATGCAGTTGTAGCCCCCAGGTTGGAGCACAGATGCATCTCCCTTGTAGTTTGGAAGCTCTCTGGTAATCCCATGCTTTAGGGCAGGGCTGTTCACTTCACGGCCCATGGGGTTAATATGTGGCCCCAGGCTTCCAGTCTGGACACTGCTACCCCCCAACACTCCAGCAGTTTCTGCCACCGCAGTCCTCAGGCTCCCCCTCCATTCTCTGGCTTGCACTGCCTGACCTCACCCTGGCAGTGGGGTTGAGAGAACCTGCAGCTGTGGGGCTCAGGGAGACCCCATGCAGCATAGCACAGGTTGCCAGCATGGTACAGTATGGGGTGCAGTGGGAGAGAATCACATGGTGTGGGGATGCTGGGATGCAGTAACTCTGGAATTGGACAGTCCTGCTGATCACTTGTTGGGGCCAGGAGGGGATTTTTTTCCCTCCCAAAGGAAGCAGGTACCTCACCTTCCTCTGAAGCACTGGGACACAGCTGAGGCTGGAGGATTTTGCCTCAGCGTCCTGATGCTCCTGCCAGTTAGAAGATTCAAGGCCTTTCTGGTTTTATGCCCTGCTCAGCATCAAACCAGTTGCTAGATTTGGGATCAGGAAGGAATTTGGTCCCGAGGTCACATTAGCCAGGCCTGTGGGGCGCTGTGGTTTCTCTTGTAGTATAGGTCTTGTTCTGTTCCAGGATCCTCTGAACATGCATTGACCAGTTATTTCCATGTCTGGCATGGTTATAAAGGAGCACGGGCAGTTATGGCAGAGCAGGGAGGGTACCAACATGCATGCCCACCTGGAACTGAATGGTACTTGGAGGGTACTTGCATGCGCCAGTCAGGCTGGATTTTCTAGAGCAGCCTGACAGCCAGGTGGAGAGCTCCATCTGTGTGTTCCCTGCTGTCCAGCCCTCTTTCTAGCTTGGGAGCAGGTTTTGCTGTCATTGCCCACCAGTGCCAGGTAGGAGGTAGGTACTGATTCCTTTAGGCCCCTGCTCCCAGGAAGACCCAGTATCAAGGGGCACAAAATGCAATACCCGCTGGTCGAATTGCTTTGCAAACTGTTCCTCCCTGGTGCTGGATGTGTTCTGCTCAGTGCCAGCCAGACCCTGGGGGTGAAACAAGCCAAGCCTCTGGGTGCAGCCTTCAGTCTCCTATGAGGAATGGGCTTCTTCTATAGGCTTTGTCTGTTGAACAAAGGTTGGCAGTGGGGACTGCCCCCTTCCACTAGCATACAGCTCTTGAAAAAGCGAGAGAGAAAGAGGTGCTGCTTGCCCATTTCCCTTCACTGACCATCCCAGTTTTCAGTGTCCAGAGATCAAATGCTTTCCATCCACAGCTAACCTCCTACTCATGTACACATACAAACACGTGTGTGCGCCACATGTGAAGCAGGTTGGGGCCCAGGAAAGCTGCTGGCTGCTATGTACCAGGTAGCTGATACTCTTGCGCAGCAGCTCTGGGATGCAGATTGATGCTTGTGCACGCATATGGACCCGGACACACACAAACACTCACACGCAGCCACACACGGGGCCACCATGGGATGGGTCAGGTAGTGTGTCCCCCATGAGGGGGCTGAGTCAGGTTGTGATGTGTTCTGAGCAATAAAGCTGGTCTCTCAGCATGAGTTGTAAGTGAACTTAGAAATCTTCCCCTATTTAGGGCATTGTGAGTAGCACAACAAACACAATTGGGCTGTCTCCTTGTTTTCTTTTTGAGACAGCAGCGCTGGTAGGTTTTGTTTCTGCAAACACTGCTCACCATGAACAGTAGCCCAGTTCAGTTCCCCCTGAGGTCAGTGGGAGATCATCCTTCTCCCTGAATTCAGTAGAAGCCAAGAGGTTGCATAGCTGACCACACATCGCAACCTAGAATCATAGAAAATGAGGGTTGGAAGGGACTTCAAAAGGTCATATCTAGTCCAACCACCTGCTCAAAGTAGGACCATCCCTAACTAGATCATCCCAGCTGAGACTTTGTCTATCCAGGTCTTAAAAGCCTCCAAGGATGCAGATTCCATAACCTCCCTGGGTAACCTGTTCTAGTGCTTTACTACCCTCCTCATGAGAGAATTTTTCCTAATATCTAACCTCAATTTCCCTTACTGCAACCTGAGCCCATTGCCCCTTGTTCCATCATCTACCACCACTGAGAACAGTCCAGCTCCATCCTCTTTGCAACCACCCTTCAGGTAGTTGAAGGCTGCTATTCACCTCCCCCCGTTCCCCCTCCCCCCACAGTATTCTCTTCTCTTGACAGAACAGGTACCCTATTCCAGTGCTTCACTACCCTCTTTGTGAGGGTAGTAATTTATGTCTAAGTTTGTCTGGAGGGAAATGGCATTTGTTGCTCAGCTTCAGTTCAGCACCACTCAGGACTGTTATCAGGCTTTCAAAACCCCAGGAGGGACTTCTCTGCACTTACTACATGCCTGCACTCTTGATCCTTTTAGCTGCAGGCCTTGCTGCTCAGCTGCTTCTGAGCTCAGCAGGAGATGCTAGGCTTGAGAGGGCCCATGGCTGGGACACCCCTGTGGGTGGATGCTGGGGCTGGGAGGCATCACTGGGGCTGTCCTGATGCATCACACTTTCCTTTCTGTTGCTGGCAGATCGCCCCAGCAGAAGGGCCAGATGCCAGTGAGAGGATGGTCATCATCACTGGGCCACCGGAAGCCCAGTTCAAGGTCAGTGCAATGCAGGCACTTGTGGAGAGGGGTGTTCATGATCTGTGGCTTTGTACAGCGTATCCTAGAGCTCAAATTTTCACAGGCCTGGAGAAGCCAGGGAAAACTGCCCAGATGTTAAGAGTTTAGCTCTGAAAACTTTGGGCCAGCCCCTCCCCTGGCAGTTGGCTCTAGAGGCAGTGAGAGGTGGGGAAACTCCTACAGCCTGGGAGATAAGGGATCCGAGTCCCAGGTTGTGGCAGGCCTGTGCTCCCACAGCTAGACTGGCAGTGGTACCCAAGCTTGATGGTTTAAAGCCAGCTTGAGCAGGTCTGTGAACCAGAAAGGTCAAGACTGAGCAGCAGGAAATCCAGACTCAGGTGGCAGCTCTAGGAGAGTGTTTGCAGTGCAGGAGGCACCTGCCTGGCTAGAGCTGATTTTTGTCTCTGGCCGTGGGTGCCCAAACTCTGCCCTTGCTGGTCAATGCTGGCTGGCATACCATACCTACCTGAGCTGCCAGTCTCCCCACCCATTGCCTTAGGGACCAAGGGGAGCTGGCTCGGGACAGAGGTCTTCAGTAGGGCAGAGTTTCACGGGGTGTCACAGTGCCTCAGCACCTTTGAGGACTTTCTCCCAGAAGCCCAAGTCCCTTTGGGCATCTTGGCCTCCCAGTCTAGCCAAGCCAAATGGAAAGCAGTATTGGTACAGGCTGGGGGCGAGGCCCAGAGATGCTAAGGGCAGGATTTCCCCAGGTGCCCAGCACCCAGGAGCTGCAGCTTTGGAAAACCGGGCCCCTTCAGGTAGCTGCTGAGGTCTGAGCACTTCTACAGTATGGCCCAATCTCACATACAGCATAGGACAACTGAAAATTGATGTTGTCTTCAGAGTCCCAGCCCAGTGCTGCCCACTAGTCCACTCTTCCACCTATCCAATGTGGACAAATAGGTTGACATCCACCATTGCAGGGGCCAAGATCCACTCTCTCCCTGCCCCTCGGACACAGGCATACCACTGTGGGGCCTAGTGTCAAATGCTCCAGGAATTTACTGCCTGCTCTTCTTCCTTTCCAGGCCCAGGGCCGAATATTTGGAAAACTGAAAGAAGAAAACTTCTTTAACCCGAAAGAAGAGGTGAAGCTTGAAGCCCACATCAAGGTGCCTTCCTCTGCAGCCGGCCGCGTGATAGGCAAAGGTGGCAAAACGGTACGTCGGCCTGCCAGCACAGAGTGGCAAGCCCAAGCAGGGGCTGTGGGAGGTGAGGCACCGCACAGACACTAAGTTTTGTGTTATGCTGTTCCACCTCTCACACACGGTATCAGCTCTGACTGTATACCCTGCTTGGGCTGTGGGAGGTGCCCCAGCTGCTTCAGTCAGACAAACAGCAACCGGGGCTGCTACGTTCAGAGGGAGAAATGGATCCATCCTAGCCAAGAGTTCGGGAACTAGGAATTTTGTCTCAAGCTGTGCTCTGGTCATCCCCTAGGTGAAACAGGATTCTGGCTGTAGTTCTTCCTCACTCCTTTCCCCAATCCTGGACTCTCCCAAGAAGCTAAGTTCTGGGCTGCAGCACATGTGGTAGCATCACCCACTCCAGAGCTAGGCAGTGTGGCTGCTTTCGTGGCCTTTTCCACTAAAGTCTGTGCCAAAACCTTATACCCTCAATTCATCCCAGCATTGTGCAGATGCTGTGCATCTTCCAGGGGGATGGTGCGGGGGCCTGGCAGTGCCATCTTCAGGCATGGAGAAGGCAACAGTATAAGAATGATGAACAGTGGTGATCTCACGCATACTTGCAAAGACCAGTGTATCCATGGCTCTCCAAGGGCTTTCTGGGGAGCAGGTGAGCATTGGAAGAAAAGATAACACAAAAGCAAGGGACATGTCTGGGCTCAGTCAGGGATGGTTGCAGGCTTTGCAGCTGGACCTCCAGCCAGTTCTCTGTATCAGGAGGGAAGTTAAAGGTCCACTCAAACCCCTGGTTGACAGATCAACCCTAATCGCATTCTCCCTAGCAACATTCAGCTTCATGCAAATGGGCATAAAAACCCATGGGCATTTTCCAGCAATGGCAAGAAATTGACACCAGCTTGCAGCCTCATCCAGAGTCCATGCTGGTCCCTGAGCCGCAGCCCATGGTTCCAGCTTTTGCTGGGTATTAGTATGAATGGCCTCACTCTGTCCCAGACACAAGAAACATGCTGACTTCTCCCTGGACTTGCTGGCCACATGGTGGCACTGTCGAGACATTAGTCATAGTGCCATGCCTTCTAGGGTAGCATCCTTCATTAGAGAGGGAATGATGTGCTTATGTCCCATCCAACTGGGACCCACAAGTGGCCCCAGTAGTGGAGTTGATCCTGTTTAGCTTTTCAGGGCTCTGAACACACACATGTGTGCAAGTGCCTAGAGGAAAGCTCAACTAAGTAGGTTTTGCACAGAAACTGCACACAGCCAACACTTCTTCCATCTGCTGCTGTCCAGGCCATAGGACCCTGAGCCTCTATATATGGACCATTGCCCTGGATTATGCCTCGCATGCCCCTAGGGAACCCTGCATAACAGGGCACAGTTCACGGGAGGGACACTGCCTTTCCAAAACCTCCCACAAAAACCAGAACTGACCTCAGCCAGCTCTGCTGCTGTTGGGACTGCCAGGGCTGCACTCTCAGACTCAGCCATAGCACATGAAAGCACAGAAAAGGCTCATAGTTTAGTGCAAGCACCATGGGGAAGGACCCTTGGTGAGGTTCATACAAGCTGCTTCTCTTACAGGTGAATGAACTGCAGAACTTAACAAGTGCGGAAGTTATTGTCCCACGTGACCAAACTCCTGATGAGAATGAGGAAGTCATTGTTAAAATCATCGGGCATTTTTTTGCCAGTCAGGTACAGCTGTTTGATTCTTTTTTTTTTTTTTTTTTTTGGGGGGGGGGGGGCACACACACTATTTAATTCCAAAGAAGGAATCTGTCTGACCCTGGGCAGCCTGGATCAAGTCTTTATTCTCCACACACATCCCTTGTCCTTATCCCTGTCATAGAAGTATGGAATCTCTGGCTTCTTATAGGCACTAAGCAGTCATTGAGTCACAGAATCATAGACAATGGGGGTTGGAAGGGACCTCAGGAAGTCATCTAGTCAAACCTCAGGAGGTCATCTAGTCGGGACTCAAAGCAGACCAGCCCCAACTAGATCATCCCACCTAATGCTTTGTCTAGCTGGGTCTTAAAAACCTCCAAGGATGGAGATTCTACCACCTCTTGAACACTCAGAGAGGGGGGCTGGAAGGGTCCTCCATAGGTCATCTAGTCCAACTCCCTGCCTAAGGCAGGATCACCCCTATCCAAACCATCCCATCCCATTCCATCCCATACCATACCCAAACCATCATCTAAATTCTACATACCTGGTCTTCTACCATCAACCAGTTTCAAGGCATGTAGCTTGGTGCAGTCACTAGAGGCCCCACACATTGGAGGCCCCTGCTACCATCTGCAAGTGAACAGCTGTATTGTAGTGACACCAAAGTTCCTTAGCCATTTTTAAATAAGTTACAGTTCTAGGAACATTGCCTATGGTGGAAGCAAAGTTGGCTGCATTAGGGAGTGTAGACACCCCTGCAGATGGTTGCCCCAAGCAGTGGCTCAGGATGTAAAGTAGGAGAAGGCCAAAGGGCCTCGCAGTAGGGGGAGGTCAGCCCATGAAAAGCATGTTCAGTTCCACCTACCAGTTCCCCATGCAAGCACCTGGCACAGGCTGGGGGGCTCAGGCCTAGCCCAGCAGAGCCTGGGGGAGCTGATTGTGTCTTGACCGCTACCACTCTCACTTTGTCCACAGACTGCACAGCGCAAGATCAGGGAAATCGTACAGCACGTGAAACAGCAGGAGCAGAAACACGCTCAGGGGGCCCCTTCCTCACACCGTAGCAAGTGAGGCTCCCACAGTGCCAGCCAGCAACAACTGATGAATGTAGCCCTTCCAACACCTGACGGAACGACAGATTGGGGAGCAAACCAAAGACCATCCTGAGGCATGACAGTCTGCCCAAGGCTGGGCTCTGCAGAGGACTCAGTGCGTGGGGAGGGGAGGGGTTCAGATCCATTCACAATGAAGAAGCCGCACAGTGGGGCAGGGCAGCCTGCCCCATCCCAGGCTCTGCAGACTCTTCCAATCCACAGCCTCCATGTTACTCTATTTACTACCGACGCTATCCCTTTAGTTGGACTAACATAGGCAGAGATTTTTGAAACCAACCTCTTGACAACTCTTGTAGGAACCCTTCTCTGTACATGAATGTACATACTACATGAGAAGATTTTACGTTGCGGGGTCCGCAGTGCACACAGCAGCATTCGCAGTATTAATATATTTTAGAATTAATATATCAATAACTAAACTAACTCCGATTTTAAAATTTTTTTTAAAGGAAAAGGTTAATTTTTTTATTTTTAATTTTGTATTTGTTTTCTTTGGGAGGGGTGTTTTCATTTTTGGGGTTTTTTTTTTTATTTTTTAGAAGAAGCAGACTTTTCTAGACATCTGAGGAAAGAACCTAGTATATTTGGATCTCTAACCTACAGTAGACTGGAGCTTTAGGATTGCCAGCAGCAAAATTCAAGGTGGGTAAGCAGTGGCGATTTCTCAAAGGGCGTTAGGAAGAGCAGCACAAGCCATGTGCCGTTTGGAGTGCCTGTCTGTGCCAACAGAAGGGATACCGTCTCTTAAAAGAGGAATCTCTCTCTCTCTCTCTCTCTCTTTTCCCTCTGTCTCTCTCTCTCCAGCTCACTCACTCTTTTCTTGTTGCTTCACGGATACTGAACTGGTTTTGCATCCTGTCCTTTTCCCTCTCTCCTGCTCTCTCTTTTGCTCTCTCTCAATTCCGCTATCATCAAACCAGTGCTCTAAGCAACACACCGCAGAAAACAGAAACACCCAGCCACAACTTCCACTTTGGTTATCAACAGCCCACGTCACCATGGTACCTGTTCTAGCATTTTGGAAAAAACCCCCAACCAAACCCAACACACACACACACACACACACACACACACACACACGAAACCGCAATATCCCCCGCCCCACCTGAGACTAGCCAAGTTTAGTCTTCATCCTTCCCACGAGGACACTGCCACCGGGATCAGGGAAAGTTGTGTCTTTCTCTTCTCTATTTTTTTTGTTAACCGGCGGATGGGAGGCAAGGGGAATTAAAACAGTCATTGACAAGAGGTTGTTGGCCCAGGGCCTGAAAATTGCAAATTTTGTTAAAAGAAGAAAAACACACATGCAGACACACACACATGAAAAGAAAAAAGAAAAAAAAAACTACCTCAGGTGTTTTTGTACCTCAGCACCTTGCTCTTGTGTTTCCCTTTTAGAGATTTTGTATGCCTTGTAAAACTGATAGTTGGAGCATTTTTTTATTTTTTTAATAAAAACAAGTTGGAAAAAAAAAATCTAGACCAAGTCAGCTGCGAGGCAGGCGGGAGAAAGCACCCACCCAAGCGTGCATCGATTCTTCTGTACTCTCTTTCTGCGAGCTGAGCGCCAATGGCCTTTCCTTTGGATAAATCTTGAAAAAAAAAAGTTTATAAAAAAAGAAAAGAAAAGAAAAAATGCTGATAAAAAAGACAAAACAGAGAGAGAAAGGATTGGAGAAGAACTCCTGAGTTTTGGTAGGGTACACGCCATTAGAAGTTTCTACACTAAGGGATGAACATGTACTGGTTTACGTGAACATACCATTGTACCAACAGACTGCAATGCCAGTTTCCTCTACTGCAAACAGTGTTATGTGAAAAAAAAAGAAAAGAAATATATCCAGCTAACCAGAGCCTGACCTTGGTATTTATTTTGTTTTGTTTAAGCGGCTAGGACAGTGATGGTGGATACGTGTAGGCCACCAGCCTGGCTGTGGGTGGGGGTGATGGACCATGATGAGGTGGGTGAGGCTTCTCATCTGACTCCACTCCTGACTGGGGCCATATACCCTACCTAGGCCAGGCAGCCAAAAGCCCCAAGAGAAGAGCCACAACATGCTCCAAAAGCCGGTGGCAGTAGGAGGGGTAGAAAATGGCTTGTGCCACAGCCTTGGGGTGCTCTGTGGGGCTCTGACCCCCCAACAGAGATGTGTGGAGGACCAAGTCAACAGCTTCCTGGGTGTTTCGGAAGAAGGGAGACATTTGGGACACCCTAAAAGGCCGAGTTTTGGACATTTTTTTAGCCAATAGAGAAATAAAAAAAAATAAAGTTTTGGCTCAAAACAACCATTTGGTTTTTGACTCTGCAGAGGCTTTAAAATCTTTAATAAAACAGATGGCAACATTAAATGCTTCACACACTATCAAAATGTTGTGTGTGTATTTCAAAAAAATTTGACTTAAGCTAGTGTGACTTTATTTATTTATTTTTTTGGTCCCCATTCTGGATACGTCCAAGACCCATCATGAAGGCATTGAAAAGCTTTGGCATCAACTTGTTTCCAATTTTTTTTTTTTTTTTTAAACAAAACATTCAGCTGAGGAAATGTTCTGCCAGGTTTTACCCCAGAGCTTTTGACCCAGAGCAAATAGAGCATGCAGCAATTCTGGGAACCCTCTGGGTGAGTCCTGTCAGCCTTACATGAGTGAAGGCATTCAGCAAGGTCAGTGCTTGGGCATGATGAAGGTGGCTGACTGCCCTGGATCAGCTGCATTGCGCTTGGCCCCTTTTGTGCCATTGTCATTAAAGAGGGTTTTGCCCCTCCACTCTGATGTCATATTAGCAGGCAGGAAGACATTTACCCCATGATCAGATTGGTAAAGACTCTTGGGAAGGGGAGAGATGGGGTGGGGAGGTGTGGGGGGAGAGTGGCCCTCTACCCAGGAACTCTTGAGCATGGCATGCAATAACAATCTTTTATAGAAGCAGGATGATGTCTGCAGTGCTTTCCCCATGGCAAGTTGGGATGATCTGTCATGTATTGTGTCAGGGTTGACAGTCGCATTATTAAACATTTAGATCATGGATTTGTCTGGGATGGTTGGGATGGGAATGATCCTGCCTCAGGCTAGATCAGGGGCGGGCAATTATTTTGGACGGAGGGCCGCTTACTAAATTTTGGCAAGCCATCGAGGGCTGCATGACAGGCAGCTGGGGCAGCTGAATACTAATTTTCTAAATTTTTTAGGGGCCCTGCGGGCCAGATAGGATGGCCTGGTGGGTCGCATTTGGCCCGCGGGCAGCATTTTACCCGCCCCTGGGCTAGATGGACTAGATGTGACCTCTGGAGGTCCCTTCCAGGACAACGGCTTTATGGGGGGTAGTGGGGGAGGTGTCTCTGTGTGTGCTGGCATAGGCCGCTCCTTAAGACTGATCTGCACCATTTATCACGTGTGCATGAGAGACTGTCCATGCATCCAGGGGTTGTCATTGCTTTAACTAAATAAACTGATGCCACTTTTTGTGCAAACCAGGCCAAAATAGGCTGAAACCAAGTGCTTTATGGCCACACACAATTTACAGCAAAGCAATCTACCAAAACTGAGAGCACGGCCATCATCACTGCTGCAAGGACATGACTGTCACTGGAGGGGTGGGTAGGCAACAGGCCAGCACTATACCTCACCAGGAGCATAAGAAGGACCATCTCAAGCTCAACCTGCCACCCAAATGAACATGAATCATGATCCACATATCCCCAGAAAGAGGGCAGCTGTGTGCAAGGAATGGGCACCAAAGGTGCTGAGGGAAGAGGTCAATGCAAAACTGGACAACTATGTTTCAGTGACTTACCATCAGCAATCAAAGCTAATACTTCTTTTTATCACTTTCAAGTTGCCAAAAGTTTAAAAACAAATCCTTTATTCAGCATGGCCTACCTGAGCTGGGGGATTGTGTTCCATATCTGAGTGGAACACAAATCTCAAATATCTGAGAAGGCTCGAGGGCACGTAAGATAGCAGTAAAAGATTGGTAGATTATTTGTCTCCTAAGAGCAGCTTAAGAATGTAACATTGCAATTCATTTTTGCTCATATGCAAACCCTATGGCATGTGTCTATGCTCAAACAGCAGCACAAGGAGGAAGGAACGGGGGGAAGCATGGAGGAACACATCCGTTTCTACAGGCTGGAGACAGCAAAGGGAAGCAAAGAGAGTAGGTCCAATCTCCATGCTCCGCTCCAGGGACTAACGTGAGCATGTATGGACTCAACCCTCCACAGTACAAGGAACTCAGCAAGGTATGAAATGGCCTACTCAGCCCAGGAGGCTATTTTCAGGTGAACAGGAGCTGTAGAAGGGGGAGAACATGGCAGGTGGAACAGATGAGAGGAAGGAAAACTGACCTCATCAACACATGGGTGTTCACCATAGGAGCTTCTGCACACAGGGAAATGGCTACATCTCATTTTACCACTGTAGTTCAAACAATGGAGTCCACATGGACCCTTATTTCAGGATGGGACCTTTTCCCAGTGTAGTTTATATGCCTCCCACTGCACCAGAACCTCAGTTGGAACAGGTCACTTCTAGTCTGGGTTAAGACTGCTCACACAAGGAGTTGTACTATGGTGTAATTCTAGGAACACAGTGATACCAGTGGGTTTCTCCATCCCAATGAACCCAGAGTTTACCCCTAGGCCTCACTGGGACAAGCAATCTTATTGTCATGCACACAAGTTTCAAAGCAGTCGGAGCATTTAGCATGTGGGTTGTTGCACACAAGGACCCTTAACTTGCACAATTCCTTCTCTGGCAGCCCTGAGGAGGTAAGGGGATTTTCAGAACAAATCTCTGCACTCAGAGATACAAAGGTCAGATATTAAACCTGGTGCTTTGGTCTCAGGGTGATGCTTCTAAAAAGGTGCCCTGTCCCAGAACAACTAATGGTCTTGCCTTCAGAAAGCTACAACAGGCAGGACTGGAACCTCTTGCACACATGAACTGCTCAACCAGTTGGCCACCACATGTTTCCTGGCACAGCTCTGAGTTGCAAGCCACTGTTTGCAAGTAAACAGAGCTTATATTGATGGGTAAAGGTACCGAGGGAGACAGTGTGCACAGGTAGGATGACAAGAGGGGAAGGAGATTGCACCCAATAGCAGTGATGAACCAGACAATTAAAGCACCACCTGACTTCAAGTCTTCCCTTGGCAGAATAAGGTGGCTTACAAAGCACTTACGTAAAAGCAGTCCTGGCCACGCTAGAGCAGTCTGAGAGCTGAGAGTCAGCCCCAGGAAGGACACATTGCATTGTTGTGAACCCACATAACTGTGGCAGGGCAAGTGCTCAGTGCAGTCTTAGAAGAGTTGCACATCTGTTTATCATATTTTCCTGAGTATAACCACCTCAAATCAAACACCCACCTTGTTTCTAGAAGGCAGACTGCAGAAAAGAAAGGCTTTTCAAAAGTCATGGCCAACTGAATGACAGAGAACATCCCCCCTGGGAACATCGAGTGTCCAGGCAATGTGGTACCAAGAAGTTTCTCCTGTCAGCTGCCTCATCCAGATTGTCACCTCCATTCTTCCTGGACACACTCTGTTTCCAGGAGAACTTACTCTGTGTCAACCAAGGTTAGGCCCCAGATTTTTCCAAGGGCAGTACCAGGACTGCTACATCTTTATATAAGTTCCCATAAATAAAGCAGAGTTTCCACTTTACAAGACTCATCAAGATACCAACAGCAGGTCACTTGCTGCTTTAGGTGAAGCTGTAGTGCTCAGCCAACAGCTATGGCCATGAGACACTTAACACAAGATGCCTCCATCTTGGCAGCTGTCCAGTGGCACAGCCTTGCTTTTTTTCCAGGGAAGAAAATAGCTTCCCTGCTTAAAGCACACACCCCAGTTTGAAGGGGCTGATTTGGGGGAAAAAATGGAGTGTGCTATATGTAGGAAAATACAGTGCACAGCCAGTTTGCACACAAGCCTGGGTATTTGCAGTAGCATACAGCTCTATGTTGGCCAAATTTGCCCCCCGAACAAGTCAGCCAACACAGTCTCTCATTTTAATTCACCCCAGTATCTTCATGAGGTATTTGCTAGTCAGGGTTCCAGCTTGACAATGCATACATTTCAGGCGTGAAAAGGCAGCAAAAGAACTTGGTCTTGCTACACAGCTTATTGGTGGCTTTTCTATTTTTTTGCAACCTCCTAATGGAAGGAAACAGGCAGATTTCAAGGAAGTGAGTGGGAAACGTCTTTGCTATGCAAAAATACATATATTTTTTAAAATGGTAACTTCAAATGCATCCACATTCTCTTGCTAGAGATTTGAGCTCAGGTAAGACTCCTTACATAAGTGAAACACACATTTTAATACAAGAAAGAAATATACAGCTTGCATTCAATAGATTCTAAAAACAAATATTAAACTCCAGGCATAAGGGCTTCATTAAGATTTTGTTACAACTGAAGAGATTAAATGTCATCTTCGTAGGATCATTGCAAAACCATTTTCAGGAATCAAACGG